CAAACCTGTTCAAAGAGATAAGAGGATGAGAATCAGTGCTGATCATGAGTAAACGTAATTGGGATTGGCGGTTGGGATTACTGGAAAAATAGCACAGTTTTAATTAGGTAACAGTTTGGGTCTCTGCAGAGAATCATGGGTACAGAAATGTGCACGACTAGCAAGGGTTCATAAAACTTTTAATCACTTAAAATCTGGGACTGCTCCAAAGAAGTCCTCCAAAGCTGAGTGGTAAAAAAAAAAAAGTGGTTAGTTTCTATTGCTTGTCCAAAATAAGGTAAATGAGACTTTAAGAGCAAAGATGTTACATTTAAATTGAGGAAGAAAAAAAGTGATTGAAAAACTTTTCATTATTTTTTATTACTGTTTTGTGATATCCTGATATCTTTTTTTTTTTTTGAATAAAGTCGATATTTTGTTTTCTTTGCGCACAAAAAGTATTCTCGTAAAATGTTTTGCTTCGTAAAATTACAGTTGAACCACTGATGGCAGATGGACTATTTTGACAATGTCTTTCATGCTTTTCTGGACCTTGACAGTGCAATTTACTATGCAGTCTATGGGACAGTCACAAGCCTCCCGGTTTCCATCCAAAATATCTTAAATTGTGTTCCGAAGACGAACAAAGCTTTAACGGGTTTGGAACGACATGGGGGTAAGTGATTAATGACAAAATTTTCATTTTGGAGTGGATTAACCCTTTAAGTGTTTAAATTCTAGCTTTACTATCTTTGTGAAAAAGACGTACACTTTAGCATACTTTTAACTTAATATGGAAATAATATACTTAAGTGCAAACTTAATGTAATGTTTACACTTAATTGCATATTAATTGCAATGTATTAGTTTTAATTTATATTAAATTCAGTTAGCTGAACTTTAGCAGCAATTAGCTGAATGCAATTAACTTTCTATGTAAAAATAGATCTGTATTTTTTTAAGTATGATTAGCTTTTATTGTTAAATAAACTTTTATATCAGCTTGTATGCCATGTATTTAAATATATTTGTAAATACACATTTGTAATGATTAAAATATAATTTACTTCTAACTTCTAACATAATATCAAATAACACACTACACTTCAAATTAAAATTTAGTACATAAGTGTATAAAAAAGAATATTTAAAATGTAGACTTTAAAAGTGTATTGAAGTGAGTTAAAGGGGTCCTATTATGCTCTTTTACGAAGTCTTGATTTTGTTTTGGGGGTGTACTAGAACATGCTCTCATGCTTGGTGGTTCGAAAAATGCATTATTTTTCACATAATTTACACTATAACAATGCTTTTCTCCCCAGCCTGGCACAAACGGCGCGATTAGTTCCAGGTTTGATGAAGGCCCGCCTTCCGAAAAACAAAATGTGTTGTGATTGGTTAGCTGTCCCAGTGCGTTGTGATTGGCGAACAGCTTAGATGGTGTTTCAGTACTGCCCCGCCCCTTGCCAAAGCAGCAAGTTCCGTCTGCTCCAGTTTAGTCAAGGATGGCGTCAATATTGCCATATCAGTTTGAGCCAGATTCAGACCCCGAGAATATTGAACAAGAGGATCGCACAGAACCTTTGCACGCACGGGTATTGCAAGGTAACGCACATATTAGCGTGGTAACGTTATTGTTTTTTTGTTTTTTTTGACTAAATTAGATAGGATGTCAACAACCACTTAAAAATAACTGCATTTACTGTGTACAGATAAGTGCAACGGTAATATGTATTATGTTTATTTTTCTTTAATTCTAACATTATAACATGAATTGCAGTGAAACTGTTATACAGTTAGAATTATTTATACCATAAGTCTCATAATTCATTCAAATCATTGTCCAGTATTGTACTGTCAGCAAATTATAAAAACGTTTTCATAATTGTAACATACATATTTACATACATAATTATTCAGGTGCATGTGTAATAACTTGTGAAAACATGACACTACAGCAGCACTACTTCTTCGTCGTCGTCTTGTCTGATGCACTCA